ATCATAGCTCTAATAGCTCTAAACACAAATTATTATGGATTGTAATAATAAAATTTATATAGGTTTGTTGTGTAAATAAAAAGATTATAGGAGCCGTTTTAGTATGTTCACGTTATATTTTTTTTATTTAGAAAAGCTACTATTATGTGTTCCACACATCCTAATTATTAGGTGGCGCTCGTAACATTAAGGAGGCGAGTGAAACGCCTCTTGGTGGTTAAATTTGGCTATCCACTGTCTAGCTAGATACGTAAACATGTCATCTTTCATTTGGTGCAGCGCATGTAGATATATCATGGTTGGATTGCTGCCATTAATTAATTGTTTGTATTTTTTTTTCTTTCTTCTAGCAACTAAATTCTCTGCTTGTTTGTTGCTTATTTGAGTTTAATAAATATGTCATACCCAAATTACTTGGGTCTGAGCACCACTCCAGACCCAAGGTTATTGGGTCTGACAATAATTTTTGATATTAGATCCAGGTGTGGTTTAACAATATGTTTGGTGTTAGACTCAGGCAAGGATTTGGCACAGCCGGTAAAATTGTGGGTTTGACAAGGCAACAAGACCTAAGGTTTTTAGGTGTGTCATGATTATCGAGACCCTAGGTTGTTGGGTCTTATATGGGTTTAAAATATTTTTTATATTTTTAATATTTTTTTAATATTTTTAAAAAATGATATTGACATATTATGAAACACTAGCTAATATACAGTTTTCTGAGGATTTCTGTTAACTTTTGTTCCAATTCATTATTGAGGCTAGCTATGCTAAGCATAAGCTCATATACAGATTATACATTGAATCAGCCTTTCACATGTTCTACTTTCCTGCACTTCTAGACCTTCATTTTACTAGCTGCAATTCTGAATCCAAGAGGTTTTTTATTATTCAGATGGATTACTAGCCCAACCAAGTGAAAGCATTTCGAGGCCAGCATCGACAAGGTGAAAAGTCTGATGAAGTGGACTCGGACTAGATAACGCGAGAGCAGCTTTTTTTAGGGTTACCTGAAAGACAGGCGAGATTTGGATGTCAAAGAAGCCCAAAATCAGGGCCACTTTAACAAATGGGAGTTAGAAAAGGTTGAGGGTAAAAGGTCTTCTTGAGTTCGTTCGACAATTGTATAATATTTCTTCTTATCAGCGCAAGGCTCTGCTCATTAATCCAGCATGGGGTTTTGCAGATGGACATACGTGCAATGCCTTCGAGTGTTGCTGAAGCTGAAGTTACTATTGTGGGATTTTGTGGACAATGACATAATGCTTCCAAGTAATTCTAGCAACTCAGAGATTCAGTTCAATCTATGCGATGGAGGATTTGCTGCTGCAACTTCTGATTCGGATGCTCACTATACTAGTTTTTTTCACATAAGAACCAGGAAAAGTAGTCCCAGGTTCATGCACAGAGGCACATTGCTTCATTTGAGCAGCTCAGTTTCAAGTGAGTTACAGAGACTCTTCTCCGTTCAACTCACCAGAATGCTATTTGGTCTCTGAATATGCCTTTAGTTTGAGAGCTGAGACACTATACTTCGAGAGCTTGAGGCCTTGTGGACAGAAACAAATAAAACATTATAAATGGTAAGCTGTGCTACGAGCATCATTTTTTATTCTGTATAGTTTCGGAGAAAACCATTGGCGGGATTTGGTTTTCATTCTAACACTTTTTACTACTCTAAAGATATTTTCAAGACTGTAAATTCTATATATATATAACACTAAATAATTACTAGAATTATATAACTAGCCAACAAAAAAAAAATTCAATATGAATTTTAAAATAAAATAAACATTAAAGAGTGACAAGTAAAATATGATAACAAAACCAACATTTATTAAAGCCATAGGAGTGTTATTATCAGTCTTGACATGAATACAACAAAAAAACACACAAAAGCAAAACATAATGAATCAACAGATATATAATTTGAAGCACTAGGATCTAAAATTTATTTAAAATATGACATATCTGAAAAACTATGAGATAACTAACTTATAGAAAAAGAAAGAAACAAACATAGCTTATGGCTATAAAAAAAGAAACTTTTAAAATCACTTAGTCGGAGTATTAGAATTGGTAAAATGACGTGATAAAACTAAGGTTGTAATATTAGACTGGTAGTTAATAATCTTGAAGTGGTCTAAAAGCATTAGATTTTGATTAGTTGCTAGGTTTCCAAGCTTGAGATTGCTTTTGTGATTGATTTTGCTATCTAAACCTACAATACTAGTTGTTTATAGAAACTACACTTATTGAAAGTAAACATTATGTAATTTTTATTTTGATAATTAGAGAGTAATTTAGAAGGTAATGTGAGCACAAAAAATTAGAAGTAGAAATAATTTTGTTTTTATAATAAGACTAAAGATGTATTTCTTCAATTAATAACTCACTGACAATTGAGTCAATATAAAAAAGTGGAGAGCGCTGTAAAATTGAACTTCTAAGTCTTTTAAAATCACTGCAAAGCATCATTAAAAATTATATCAATCGTTGTTGTTTTTACGAGCAATATAGGCATCATATGCTTTTCATTTTACTGATTTTATAAGAGCCAATTAATCTCAAAGATCTATCATAGCATAATAAAACTCCTAAATACTCATATTCCTCCGGCGAATAACTCGAATGTCATTCTCCAATTGATATTGTTTTGCAAAATTTGATTGAGCGAATAACCATTGCAAATAATTCAAAATTTTTTTATTGTCTTATACTTTATCAAATGTGTATTTATGAAATGCTTAAGAGAATTGTAAAGTCAAGTAATAATTTTTGTATTGTTTGCTTCCTAGACATCTATTAAGGTAACACAATCCTTATCAGTATTTTTAAGTTTCACTGAAGTTCCACTAACATATCTCCATATCCTTTTACCTTTTACGAGAATTTCTTATTATATAACTCCAATACAAACAATTCTTTTTATTCAACCTAACATTTACATGTTGAAGTGAATTGTCTCTTTTAGTAGCTATAATAACAAAGAAAACCAAAACAAAAAAGAAAGGTAAATGAAATATAAAATTGTAAAAATAAAGAAAAATGAAATACAGATTGCAGAAATTGAATGAATACCCTCTTGAAATTGTTTAGTCACTCCATATAAAAAAACATGTGTTTGAGGTTTAGTCTCGTCCTATAAAATCCAACTCTAATAGTATGTTAAACAATCGAAAAAAATATAAAAATAAAAAAAGAAAGTCAGGGTTTTATTAATAATGTATAATACAATTAAAATAATTAAAAGGAATAAGTTTAACCTAAATATAAAGAAACTATGTATATAGGTTAAACAAATGAAACTAATATAAAAATATAAAAACTATTTTATCTTTAATAAACAATAAAATAAAATAACTTTATATTTTTTAATAGTTACCATGTAATTAAAAAAAAGACTACAATCCAGAAGCGCATGATAAGTACGACAATCTCTCAAAAAAGTTTTAAAGAAGTTGGTGGATGTGCAATTCTAGCCTTTAAAAAGATATTTTTTCTGTGGTTCATATGCGTTGAAGACTTTAAAACTTGGAAAGAGTTAAACATTTGTGTGAAGAAAAAAAAAGGCTTGACCTAGACTACATGCATAAAAAGCTTGCCCATTGGAAGTGACCTTGTTTCTTTGAATTGATAATAGCTATATTTGCACTCGCACGTAAAGATGCAATGAGATCCCATAGCCAAGTGAGAGTTAGAGAGAGTTATGTATTGAATATAGTGAGTGTAAATCACTCTTTGTACCTTGAGATTTATGTGAAAACTCCTTGTAATAAATAAATATAGATTTGTTGATGTGTATAGTTTTTTTTTATGAAACTCAAACATTAAAAAAAAAATATCAACATGAGATAAAGGAGTTGTTCGAGAGTTTTCCCGTGTTATTAAACTCGATTTAAATTAAGGGGTAAACTTGATAACTCGTATATCTATTTATTATCTAAGTTACTTATAAAAATTATAATTAAATAGAAGTTAATTTGATTGGATATAATCGATTTAATATGCCAATTTTTAATTTAAATTATCTGGATAAAATCTGATTTGATTATTAAATTTTTTTAAATAATATTTTTTAAAATTAATTTAAGTTATTCATCGAACCCGTAAAATATATTTTAATTTTAAATTGAGTTTAATAATTTTGTCTGAATTTCAAATAAATACTATGAATCCAAGACAACCGGTCACTATTTGGGCATTTATAATATTATACTCAACCAGCCCATTAGGTATTTTATAAATGAGTCCAATATTATATATGGACTTTTCATTACTTATCATTTCATAATTTTGCAAACCAAAAAACAAATTATAAAAAGTAGTCATTTATTTTAAATTATTACTAAAAAATGATTAAAAAAGTTTGATGTTTTATTTAAATTTTTAATTTAAAAGGATATCAGAATCAACTAATACTAAAAAAGAAATATTTTTTAATTATAGAATGTTGGATTTGATTCAATGACAGTGTTTATCATTGAAAAACATTAAAAAAATAAATTTAATCATTAATGGAAAGGTAAAAGGATGTATTGAACATGGGATTTTGAGATTGCGGCCATAAACGAAGTTGACCAAAATTTATTTATTTTTATTTAAAATTAATATTTTTTTATATTTTTTTAAATAATTTTAATATATTAATATTAAAAATAATTTTTTTAAAAATATATTATTTTAAAAATAATTGTTACAACACTTTTAAATATTTCTTATAAAATTAATTAAAATATATTAATTAAATAAATTAATAATTATTGGTTGGCTCGCTTCAATTAAATTAAGAGCTTGTTTATTTTTTGATTTTAAAAAAATTAAAAGAATTATTTTTATTATAAATTAATATTTTTTAATATTTTCAAATTGTTTTAATATCTTTATATTAAAAATAATTTTTTAAAAATAAAAAATATTATTTTAATTAAAATATATTTTTTTTAAATTATTGCTCCTGTACTTCTGAAAAACATTACAAGAAGGATTCAACTTGCCTGGGTTACTAGTATTTGGCCCGTGGTGGAAGAGCTTGGGGCATCTGTCTCTTGTCTTTAGAGTCGTTCTTCCTTTCAGAGATCCCAAAAGCCACCATCAGCACGTCTTCTACTAATATAAATACCACCACAACCCCTTTTCCTCCGCCACCCACCCCGTGCCTGCTCTCTACCTCTAACATTGTATCCTCCCTCTCGTGTCACCACCACCCCGGCAAAGTAAGCTCTCTTTTCCCTTATAGTTTTTGTTGTTTTGTTTGGTTCTTTTTCTTTGATGTGATGTAGTTCTTGATTCGTTCTTTTATCTTGAGGGTAGATAAAACATGAAACGTATGTATCTTCCAGGAAGTGGGGACTTGTCTCTCTCTCTCATCTTGTTTTGGTCGACAAGAACAAAACAAGTTTGTATCTTTGATCAACGTTTGGCTTATGTTTTTCGCTTTTGCTTTCTAAACCTTCTTTAAGAAAAGAAAAGTTATTGAAAACAACATGACTGTTACCTGTTTCATTAAAAATTTCGGATGGTTTCTTAACTAGCTAGGTCTAGGATGTTGGGTTAGTCTTGAAAATTCCTGTCATTTTGGTAAGAAAGGGAAAACTGAGAAACTGGGGATTCGAAAGTAGCATCAGTAGTTTGAGGTTATAATTAATCAGGGACAATTAGAGTGTTTATCTCTTGCTGTGTAACCTCTGTAAATTAGGGGTTTTTTCCAGCTTTGAAAGTGCTACTCTGAAGTTTTTTAATTTTTTTTATCTTAGAACAAAAGGAGACATCTTGCTGGTATTTTTTTTGTTGTGAACTAATTTATGTGTTAACCTACTCTGTTTACTAATTACTTCTGTACGCATATTGAGCTGATAACTATATTTTGATTTCTGGGTTGCTTACGATATTAAGACCTTTTCAGTTTTTTTGTTATTGCTGCTAATTTTATTTTTTTTAGCAATGAGCTATGGATTACTGCTTTCGTGGTCTAAAGGAACCCTGTATGGTATAACGCTGGCCTTATTCTGGAATAGTGATTTTTGGCATGCTAACTAGCTTTGTGAACTTTGATTTTGGAAAAAAAAAATCTCTGTTAATTCTCTTTCGAAGTTCATTTTTCCAAAAATGAGAAATCTTGATTTTTACATACTTTATGTTCTCTTTTTAAATGGTGGAGCCTCGAGTGAAGAGCAGAGAGCCATTAGCTTGCTCTTCTCATAGTGCTCCAAACATGAATTGCCTTCTTGTTGTAGGAATGGATGATTTGGTTCCGTTTTGTTGTGGATATAAGTGAGGCATACAATGTTGGATTTAAACATGATCTAATCTTATACTTGAGTGTGTTAAAGAATCCATGGGCCAGGGGCAGGGAACAGTTTTTCATTATTTTTTTTTGGCTCATTCTTAGGATTCCCTTGCTCGCTACTTTTGAATTCTGATCTTTGTTGCTTTGTCCATGCAGAATGATGCAGCTTCTTTCGCATGTTAGATTCATTGCATGTTTGTTGCTTTATTTTTGTGGTGCTATAAAAATATATAAAACCCTGTATGAAATGGCTGTATGAAATGGCTGTTGTTAAAAACTGTCAATGAAGATTCAACAGTGGTAGTGTCATAAAACATGGACATTGCTCCCCTTCCTGCACTTTATTTCTTTAGTTGGCTTGATGAAAAGCAGTGCTTTTAAATTCCATGCAAAATGAATGAAACCATTCAATTATTAGTAATATTGAAACACCTCATTAACCAGCTGACAATTTCTGGTATTCTGCATATAGGAGCACAGATGACAACAGTTACCGTTTCTTCCCAAAGCCTGCTCAAAGCTGCACCCCTAAATCTGTTTACAAGCACCATTGTCAAGAGGACATCCTCACTGGGATCAGTAAAGAGTGTCTCTAAATCATTTGGCTTGAATTGCTCCGCCAACTACAAAGCATCAATGGCAGTATACAAGGTTAAAGTGATTACACCGGAAGGCGAAGAGCATGAATTTGAAGCTCCAGATGACACATACATCCTAGATGCAGCCGAGAATGCAGGAGTTGAGCTGCCTTATTCTTGCAGGGCTGGGGCTTGTTGTAGCTGTGCTGGGAAGTTGGCATCAGGTTCTGTCGACCAGTCTGACGGTTCTTTCCTTGATGAGAATCAAATGAAGGACGGTTATCTTCTGACTTGCGTTTCCTACCCAACTTCAGATTGTGTGATTCACACTCACAAGGAAGGTGACCTTTGCTGAGGTCTTTTGCAGTCAGAATTGAATAGGGACGTAGGATTTCTGTGATTGTTATGGATCATTTTGAATCTAATGATGGTATTAGACCGCCGGGGACCTTCCTCTCCGTAGTGACTTCATGTTCGTTGTTTCAACACCAAGAAGGATTGTTTTACACTGTATTGCAGTAAATAAATAGATGTTGAAATGTTCCCAGCTCCCATTATTTCTTTGTTAGACACCATGGAGAGGGTGGGAGGGTAAAAAATCCATGTTTCTTAAGTTGTAGTTAAAAGAAAAAGTCGCTAATACCAGGTTTGTGTCTCGTTCTGATTTTACTCGCGCTGTATTGAGCCACATAAAATGATAGTCGATCATACCAGGAAAACCTTGTTGATTCTTAAGAACAAACCAATTTCTAAAGTCGCTAATACCAGCTTTGTGTCTCGTTCTGATTTTACTCGCACTGTATTGAGCCACATGAAATGATAGTCGATCATACCAGGCAAACCTTGTTGATTCTTAAGAACAAACCACATAATCTAGCTAAATTCATATTAATTTGATCCTAAATAATTTATATATAATACCGAGCACACAGATTTAACAAACACCAAACCGGTGAACAATTCAACTAGGATTGGTGGGGTACGCCAGGCCAATGCTGTAGTGCAACGCAAAGGCGACGCTCGAGAGCCCCAATAGCAAGCTATTGTAACGGACCCTTCCCCTAAAAAAATTAATTTAATATCGTGTGAGCCATTGGCCCACGTATCAGATATTAAACTGATAAGAACAGATACTACACTTGATCTTAGCCAAAAGGCCGAGAAAGGTATGAGTGTTAACGTGTCGCGCTTCTCTTTTTATATCGTACTTCCACACGCCTTTTTTCACTTCTTCCGATGTGGGATATTAAAAGCATGGAAACACGACAATAGCACTAGACGGCAGCAGTCACCTGCCAGACTCTCATCAAGATGCGAGAGAACGCACGATTTTCTCAGATCAAAAGCAAGAAGGTGTGCGCTTTGCCTTAGCTCAAGATTCTGTGGCTCACATCTCCTGATAGAACTGGATGTTAGACATTAACATCAATATCTGGGAATCGAATGCTTCACTCCTAGGGTGAAACAGATAACAGAAACTTGTGATGGGGCAGCAGGAAGTTTAGTTCCGAACCAAATGGTGCTATGGGTCTGAACTTTTGTCTCTTGGGATGTTTAATAGCTCATTGATGTTAAGATTCTGCTACTGTTCGCCATCTTTAAGCATAATGGTGCTCAAGGAGTTTCGAGTGTCGGTGGAGTTGCTGGAGTTGTGGTTTTACTACCATGGAGACTTTCATTCCTGCATAGATGGTGTGCTTGCGTCTGCTGCTCGTCTCTTTCCCTAAGTCGTGGATTTTGTCCTTTGTATCCTTCTTCCGTTGACCAAAAGTAGGAAGCAACACCATTTCTACACAGAGAATTAGTGGATTACAATTACAAAAGCTACTATAAAGGAGGAAAGCGCAGATATCCATTGAACTTCTCATGAGAAAACAACACACGATGAAGAATAAAGCACCTTCTCATTTTTTCCTGGAATTAATTAAAGATTAATAAAGGTGATGTGATGAGAGTGAATTATTTACGAGAACAGGCTAGCCACCTCATCGCTTGATGCAAGAGAAGTAGACAATTAACCTGGACTGATCAGGTCTTTTGCCTTGTGGCTTTCTATTATAGCTAGGAAGTTGATGTTATTCACCTTGCTTTTACTTCTCAAGTATTTGGCGTGTTGCTCATCGTTGCCCAATATATAGTCACCCTTGCCAATCCAGTAATTTCCCCATCCTGTAGTTTTAATTAATTTCCTTAATTACTCGTGTTTATTGAACATTTGACTTATGTTTTTGAGAATGAACATTTGTGTTCTTGAAAATAAATTAACCATGAAATTTAAATAAAACTATGTATGTTTTACTTATTATTATTAAAGTTCTTTTTTCCCAACAATCTTCGAGTATTTCGTTTTCAAATCCCATTTCCAAAGTAAATTCTTAACAATAAATTCGTAATTATTCTCTTAACCTCTTAAATTTTAATCTCATATTCATATCTAGGTTAATTTTTTTTTTATATGCACTTAATCCATGCAGCAAATATGCCATTAAAATTATTTTTATCCCATATTTATTATTATCAGGAGGAAATGGGCGCTTTTACTTTAATAAAAATAAGGTTTAGAGTTTACAGTCTTTAATTTTTTATTATATACGTATTTTCAGAATATTTTTTTAAAATATCATTATAATTTCTTTTTTTAAAAAAAATATTTACTTCCGTTTATCAAATCTATTAATTATTATTTTTAATTATCAATCATTAATTACTTCAACTTACCAAATATTAGGAACTAAATATCAGCCATCTAAATATCTCGATTAAAAAAATTATATAGCTGTCCAACTATTTAGATATTTTAAGAACATCATCAATTTCGTGGGGGGTGGCTGATGAGAGCCAGCGTGCCATCGTGGTGCGAAAAGACTGAGATAAACAAGAATCTTCATCAAACTTTTGACAAGAAGACACGTCCAGAAGACGTTGGAAGAAGGCTAGACCAGCTCCTCCCTCTCTGTCAAAAGACATCGGATCAGGCTGCAGCTGCATCAAAGTTGGTGCATTTTTTATTTTTTCTGAAGGAAGGAAAGTTTACCTTTATGGGCTTGAAAAGGACCAAAAGCACGTCTTCGGGCTACCAATTTTGGACACCGACCCTTTGCATTTTGGTCACTGAAGTTCTCGACTTTTCCCCAACATTTTCAGAGATTGGGCCTGATATATGCGAGAGCCGAGGGAGGCACCATGACCGCTCTGTTTCTCATGATTTCTGGGTGTTTCTGTTGTCATCTAATTCTAAATAAAGAAAATTGCAGATATGCGTCTTGACGTTTGATTTTCCTTGAAATAATTATGTAAATGAATCTATCCTTCTTTTTGCAAGCAGCAAAATAAACTCTATCTAAATCTTACACTCCATGTCATAAGATTGGTGCATGTCTCAAAAAGGTTGCCACTTTGCGTTTTCATTTTGGGAGAAAAAATTTAAAAAAATCAGAATAAAGTTTTAATTAGTTCAATCACATCACCAACAAATCTTATGAAATTGATTGAATCAACTTCTAGTTATTTTTTTATACACCACTCGGGATAGAAGATGAGTCGACCAGGTCTATATCGAGCCAAGTTTAATATCTATATAAAACCTAATGCATCAAATTCCACGTCTAGGAAACATTTGATTGCTATAAGTATCTCCAATCTGTAATCCTTTGTTGGTGGGCTATGATTAGGTCTTGATGCAACGCTCGCTAGTGAAGCAAAAGTAACTCTTCACTTTTTTTTCAAGAAACTTGCATCACAAACAAGTCTTGGTCCATGAATCATCCATTCACGCTTGATACTCCATGTCATGAAATTGGTGCATGTCTCAACAAGGTTGCCACTTTATGTTTTCATTTTGGGAAAAAAAATTTAAAAAATTTAAAATAAAGTTTTAATTAGTTCAATCCAGTTATAAATCTGTTCAAATCGATTGAATCAACTTCTAGTACACCACTTGGGATAGAAGATGAGTCGATCGGATCTATATCGAGCGAAGTTTAATTTCTATATAAAACCTAATGCATCAAATTCCACGTCTAGGAGACATTTGATTACTATAAGTATCTCCAATCTGTAATCCTTTGTTGGTGGGCTATGATTAGGTCTTGATGCAACGCTCGCTAGTGAAGCAAAAGTAACTCTTCAATGCTTGTTATGATTAGTCGTGGTATGTGCAAGCTGGCCCGGGCATCCACATTAATCTAAAAATAAAAAAAAAAAGTAACTCTTCACCTTTTTTTCAAGAAACTTGCATCCCAAACAAGTTTTGGTCCATGAATCATCCATTCACGCTTGACCTCGCAGTGCCCACAATCCAGTATATATCAGTTGAGCGTCATAAAAAGAAGAAATCGACTCATCTTCCTCTATATTCCTCACTTTCCATCAACTTTTGAAGGAAGTGATCTCTATTTTGAATGGACAAATTAGAAACCCTCTTTGTTGAGGTTGTTTGTGGTGACTAGATGCCTCGCCATTTTCCCACATTGTTCTGACTAAATCATTGTAGGCTTCCGCAATCACTTGTTGTGAGCAAGTATTTCCTAGTTTGTGTCGCCTAATTTCATAATTGTCTGATAAAAAATAAAAAGAAAACGACTTGTCTTACAAGGACCACGCAGAGATCTAATATTTAATTCGTAACTTTACCTCCTATTTGTATAATTCAGGTCATTATTTATATCTTTTAAAGATTTAGCTTTTTGTGAACATTTTAGAAAGCATGGATATAAAACTCCAACTTCACCTGCCAACAAGTAAACTGGTCTGGATTTACTTAGATTCAGTCAAAACTTATTAATTTTTTTTAAAAATAATTACATCATTTTAATTTTTTTTAAAAAAAAAAATAATTACATCATTTTAATTTTTTTAAAACAAGATGGTTACCTCTTCTCACTTATGATTTAAATTTTATTCAAGATCAAATAATTAATCTCTTAGTACAATGAAAATGCTCACAGATGTTTTTTTTTTTCGGGTACAATACAAAATGGAGAATAAAAAAAAGCTTTTTTTTTCTTTTTTGACAACAGTATGTTGTTAATGGACACCATTACACGTCAGATGATCATGTCTTAAGGCTTTGGATTGTGGTACTCTTACGAGTGTAGTTGTTATTGTTACTCCATTTTTAAGACAAAGAATCATTATTAAAGTGGTAATGATGCAAGCTTATATATGACTTAATCTATACGTGAGCTTAATTTCATTAATTCAGTGCTGTTAAAACATGATCTGCAAGCTTATGACTTACTCCATTTTTAAGATAAAGAATCTTTAATCTAAAGCATATTAAAATAATTTGAAAATATTAAACAAAATTAATTTAAAATAAAAAAAATACAAATTTTTAATTTTTAATTTTTTTAAATATTACAATTACATGAAAATAAAGAGACCCTTCATGTAAGTTGTTGGAAGTTGACACTACTACCCCCGTAGGACCTTGGTGGGGCAAATCTGAGGTGACAAGGCACGTACAATGGCCTCCAAGGATGGAGGAGCATGGCTCCCAGCTTTGACAATTTACTTTCCCATTAAAAAAAAAAAAAACAATTTCGTTTTTGCTTTT